TAATCATTTCTCACTTTGCAACGTATTTAAAAGTTATGCTCGAACCAAAACTCACAACTGAAGATATTGTTGATGTTGCAAATGAAAAAGGAGCGTTCCTATTAGCCCGACGAACCTCAAATCAAGTTTATTTTCCACAAACATATCCAGCAACCATTTTTTCATATGTATTCATAGTTCCAAAGCCAGGGTAAGTTGCAGAATATAATATGCAATACAATAAAAGTGTGTCGAGTAATAACTGTGTAATTTTATATTAAAAATCGTAGATTAGCCAATCATTGGTTGCAACTCATACAAGTGTTTGAAATTCCACTATGGACATTGATACTACTCTCAGCACTATTTGCATTGGGATACTTTTGGTTGGAAATAGTTCTAAAGCAATCTATTGCCAAGACACCAATTTTGATCGTTTTGCGTTTGTTTTTATTGCAACCATTGACTAACAATGAAACACCACGTCATTTCCGTCCCCGTATTATCCTAGCCCTTGTATTAATGTTACTAGTAATATATTCATCATTATTTTCATCGAGCGTTGTTACTCAAATGGTGATGCCTAAGTATGAACCAGGAATTAAAACTGAAGATGACATTGAGAAACATGGTATGATAAAAGTCTTTTATACCAGCTTAGGTAGTTCACTGTTTGATAAAGCTGGAGATTATTTTCAGGTAAATTCGTTTATTTACTTTGTATGCTTATTAATGACGTTTTATATTTAATTAGGACGTGGAGGAGGTGATAAAACTTGTTAAATACCATGATGATCTGGATCAAAAAGTAAAGAGTGGTGCTCAATTAGCTCTACAAACGTTTCTAACCGGGACAGGACGTACGAGATATTGCCCATCTTTTTCTGCAATTAATATTTTCTTGTATTTATTCTAGTATCATTAGATTTACGCATAATCTATAATGCAAACTGTCAACTGTTAAGGCATGGAAATCAATGGGCTTTTACTCATATTATGGCACGAAACAGTGTGTATGCTTCTTTAATACCCGAATTAAATGATTTTATCTTGAGATGCAGAGAAACGGGATTAACTATAAAATGGGAATGGCATATGTATCGGGAAAAGTTTACGATGTATGAAATATTAAGATTTTTAGACTACAGGCCGGAAGCAATCCATCCAAGGAAACTAACACTGGAAATCTTTCAAGCGCCATTTTGGTTTTTACTTATTGGCATGCTCCTTGCAACTTGTATCTTTTTGGTTGAAATAGTGTGTAGCTGGGTTGAACACAGCAATGGCGCAATTCATATTACCATTTAAAAATATCACTATTTATTAAAATATATTTATTTTTGCCATTTAGAAAGAGCTGCACTACTGAAATCCATATTGCATAAGGCCTAAATATGGTCGAAATAGATTATTATCTGCGAGAGGTTAGCTGAAAATTGCTGTGATTTTTCAAATTTCATTTTATCACAATTCTACAAAGAGCTAATTTGTTGTGTATATGTGGGTATTATAGATAAGAGAATAAGTTGTAATATTTGCGTGTTTCATTGGTATTTTATGTCATGAACTGTTCAAAACTCAAGCAAATTTTGTTGATAATGATAATGATTGATAAAATATACTGCCACCAGTTACTAAAGAAATATTAAGCGTGCTTTCTTTTAATGCTAATGGAATTGATTATGAAGAAATTGCCCTGCTTGAAATAGAATAATAATAATAGAATAATGAATAGATTAGCAAGTTTTAGCGAGTTTAAGAACGTTTAACTACGCGATCCTTACGCTAGTTCTTCTACTTCCACTCTATATCCATGTTGAGGTTTTTAAACTTAACTACTTTAGTCACGACCTGGGCGGCATTTTATCTTTGTCTTATAATATATTCTTTTTAATTGTTTGCTACAAAAACATTTGACGCATCGTATTGAGGCAAAATCAAAATAGGTTGTGGGGCGCTGTGTTTCAAGAAATTGAGTGAATTATAATGAATGATTAATAATCAATCAAAAGTTATATCTTATAGTGAATTTTCAATGCAAAATAACATATAACATTTGAGAAGAATTTGACTTTCTCATTTTTTAAATGCTAATTTTGCAAATAATGCGAAATTGTCTTTGTAAAACTATTTCTGTGAGTGAAACATGTTTGTCTTTTTTCAGAACATGTTAAAACAAGTAAATATTAAATTATCTGATTACTTTAATAACAAAATAATTGATTACTCATATTTAAAAAAATCGGCTTTTGATGCCTTTTGAACACATTATTTTACCAAAGTTGCTATTAATGGTATCTGCACTAACACGAACAGACTACTAGCAAAAAAGAGAGTGACTTATTGAATTTCCATTTCGAAAACTTATTTGAATATCGTGATCAATTTGGTTTAATTTATTCGTAAAACAATGCGCATTTATTCAATTAAATGATCATTTTACTTGATCTAATTATAATGATACAAATACATAAATGACAATATATTATCTATATTAAAACATGATATCGTTCAAAAATAATAGTACGTGTGAAGACACTAAAGAGAATGTTTATCTACACTACAGAGTTGTCTGTAAATTTGCTCATCAATGTAATTGCTACTCTTAATTTCCAACATGATCAGTGCATTGCGTATTACAGTCCGAACGAAAATCCCTATCCATACAGAATTTCACCTTTATCACAATCATTTCCAGTAGTTCTAAATGACTATGAATGCAAACATGGTTGTCGTCAATACATAGTGGAAAATCCGCAAACGTACCTGTTAACCGAATTTAATCCATTCAGAACCTGCATGGTCCGACAAAGGAATGCCGATATGAAAGCAATCCTTATGCTGGGTGACTCTCTTAACATGTATCGTAATTTACCTGGTGATTTTGGTATCAACGTAGTTATCATTGTAGCAATCAAATATTATTACTATGTTTATGGTCATACTGATCTCGCCCGAGAAAAACTTGTTGTATTGAACCGTTGGCACACTATGACGCGTCAATTTATGAGTGACCCGGGTTCCGTTAGAACCGATACGTTCTTCGATAATAGGTGGAAGAATCATCCTAATACTAAAATTTACTTTGAAATTGAAGTATACTATCCTCACATGTTCCCAACAGCGTCAGGGACATATGGAGTTGACTTGAATATTATTTATCACTATACAAGATATGTAAAAGTTTTATATGGGCTAGATTTCATAAATGAAACTTTCATTCAAGCGGCATTTGAAAAAGGAGCGTTCCTATTAGCCAGACGAACCTCAAATCAAATTTATTTTCCACAAACATATCCTACCACCATTATTTCATATGCATTCGCAGTTCCAAAGCCGGGGTAAGTTGCAAAATAAAATGTGCCACACATTAAAAGTGTATCGATTAATAACTGAGTAATTTAATATTAAACATCGTAGATTAGCCAACCATTGGTTGCAACTCATACAAGTGTTTGAAATTCCACTATGGACATTGATACTACTTTCAGCACTATTTGCATTGGGATACTTTTGGTTAGAAATAGTTCTAAAGCAGTCTACCGCAAACACACCAGTTTTGACCGTTCTGCGTTTATTTTTATTGCAACCATTGACTAACTATGAAATACCACGTCATTTCCGTCCCCGTTTTATTCTAGCCCTTGTATTAATGTTGATAGTAATATATTCATCATTATTTTCATCGTGCGTTGTTACTCAAATGGTGATGCCTAGATATGAACCAGGAATTAAAACAGAAGATGACATTGAGAAACATGGTTTGATAAAAGTTATTTATAACAGTTTAATTGCTTCGTTATTTGATAAAACTGGTAATATATATGAAGTAAGTTTGTATATCTGGTCTATATGTTAATTAATGACATCATATATTTTATTAGAACCTGGCTGCAGTGCGAAAACATAACGAGTACCAGTCAGATCTTGTTCAGAAAAATAGAAGGGGTATTCGAATGGCTATACAAAGATTGGTAACCGAAACCGGAAGTACGTGATTTGCGATTCTTGGCATAATTAATATTTTTCTATGTTCATTGTAGTATCATTAGATTTACGTATAATCAATAAAGAAAACTATCAACTCCTAGAAGATGGAACACAATGGGGTTTTACTCATATTATGGCCCGAAACAGTGTGTATGCTTCTTTAATTCCCGAATTAAATGATTTTATCTTGAGATGCAGAGAAACGGGATTAACTATATACTGGGAATGGCAAATGTACATGGCAGGGTATCATATGAATGAAATTTTAAGGTTTTTAGACAATAGCCCGGAAGCAATCGAACCAAAGAAGCTAACCCCGGAAATTTTACAAGCGCCATTTTGGTTTTTACTTATTGGCTCGCTTCTTGCAACTTGTATTTTTTTGGTTGAAATGATGTGCAGCTTAGTTAAACATATTAATGGTTCAATTTACATTGCCATTTAAAAATGTCGCTGTTTGTTAATATATGTTTGCATGTATTAATGTTTGCCATTCAGTAAGTGCTGCACAACTGAAATCCATATTGCATAAGGCATAAATATGGTTAAAATTGATTATTATCTGCGAGATGTTACCTAAAAATTGTTGTGGTTGTGCTGATTTCATTTTATCACCACTTTGCATAGGGGCCCATTGGCTAAATATTTGTGAGTATTATAGATAAGAGAATAAGTTGTAACATTCGTTCGTTTAATTGGTATTTTGTGACAAAAAATAATTTTGTTTACCTTACTTTAAACACGGATGGCAAAAGCCGTAACGAAAGTACTTTAGTCACGGGGTGCTTGCGCCTGCGCATTTGTCTACGGTGCATTACAAGCCATATGAAAAGATTTAATTTGTATTACCATTTAAATAAATCACAGTTTGTAAAATATTTTGTTGGCTTTGCACAATAAATATTGCTCCAATGTCTGTCATTAAAATCAACCTACATTAACTTCAAGTGTTTGTCACTTTCAGTGTTACCCACATATCAGCATATAATAACATTCATAAGCCTCCATTCAAATATATATTTATATCGAAATACGAGTATAAGCAAACATGCACGTGTGCAAACCTTCATTATCTGTCGAAATACTGTGCGCGCACAAGCACAGAAAATCTATAAAATCCTCCTGCCGCCCCCGCTCTGCCGGCGCCACGCAGGCGCGTTGTCACTGACGTCAGTGCATCGCCGATATCAACCATCAACACTCGCTGCAAAGAGTTACAACTCAGTAGTTAACCGTACAGTTATCAACACTAATACTGTAGATAATAAATTATTGTTGTCAAAGATGACATTCCGACGGTATGCCTTCCTGGCACTCCTGTCGATGACGACAATCGCCTCCACCTGGCAGTTTGAGTTCAAGCATCACGACAATACTGAATTACCGCTGGTTCTCAACGATGTCCACCAACGGTGTCCACATGTTACACGCGTTTACACTTTGTCCGAGAAATCTGTCCGTGGAATACCTTTGTATGCTATTGAATTTGGTATGCAACCAGGCAAGCATCAACCATGTAAGTAACATAACCTCAATATTTACTCAACATGATTTTTATTTACATTTTTATAATGTTTAGTGATACCTGAGTTCAAATACGTCGCTAATATTCATGGAAATGAAGTGCTTGGAAGAGAATTACTCCTCAAACTTGCTGACCATCTATGCTCGAAATATCTTGCAATGGACGATGAAGTTATTAGCTTAATTCGTTTAACCCGTATTCATTTGATTCCCAGCTTGAACCCGGATGGATGGCAATTGGCAACGGACACCAAAGATGAGGTAATATATTATTAATTAATTTTTCAATTAATCATAACCTCAATTGTTTTAGGATGGAAGGCAAGACGTTGTGGGAAGATACAATAATCATTCCGTGGATCTGAATCGAAATTTTCCTGATTTAAACAAGATTATGTACAGTAATGAGTTGTACCACATTGATCACAATAATCATCTGTTAAATCAAGTCAACAGTTTGTCTCAACCAGTAAGAATTGCAAATTTTAATTGAATTGATTATTTATATTGATTAATTTCAGTTGGAACCTGAAACTAAAGCGATGATTCGTTTAATCATGCAAATACCGTTTGTTCTCTCCGCTACTTTTCATGGAGGTGACATGGTTATTAATTATCCTTATGATGGCAGCCGTACTGGCAAAGAAGTGGGGGAATATGCCAAGGCACCTGATGATAGACTATTCAAGTATGTAATATTTAAATATTCTTAAATATTAGTAAATTTATATGAATTATAAATTACCGATTATACTTTATTAGGATGTTGGCTTTGAGTTATGCAACACATCATACAGACATGGCCGATCCTACACGCGCAGCATGCGACGCCATTGATATACCTTTCGGCCGTCAGAGCGGAATTACAAATGGCGCCGCCTGGTATAGCTTAAAAGGTGGACTGCAAGACTTCAACTACTTATCAAGCAATTGTTTGGAGCTGACTTTTGAGGTTTCCTGTCAAAAGTACCCACCTGCTGAGAAATTGAGAGCGAATGGGAACGCAACAAGCAGGCAATGATTTATTACATCTGGCAAACTCACTTGGGCATTAAAGGCATCGTATACGATATGGATGTGAATCATCCATTAGCAAATGCTGAAATACACGTTGTGGATATTACGAATGGAAATGATGAACATATTGGACATGAAATCACATCAGGTTTGCACTTATCACGTAGAATTTGATTATAAATTTTAAAAATGTGTTTTTCAGCTCATTATGGTGATTATTATAGACTTTTAGTACCTGGAAAGTACAAAGTCACAGCTTCGAGGGAAGGATACCTGCCGAGAACAAGAATTGTTAATGTGCATCCGCATAATATCGGACAAGGAGCACTGAGGATAGATTTTCCTTTAACCAGACTTTCGGTAAATATTTCTTAAAATAATTTAATTAAAAATATTTTTCTACTTCCACTTTTAAAATGCCTGTTTTTCACAGTTTTAAGACATAAAAAAATATACTTTAAACACGGATGGCCAAAACCGTGATTAAAGTACTTTAGTCACGGACTTTAGTCACGGGGCGGAGTTTGCTCTTGCGCATTTGCATTTAAAAGTTCGTTATGCTTGTTTTTAACCAATTTTGTGACAAAAACTCTCGTATAACTACTTTATACTTAATATACTATTTAAAATTATTTTATAGACGGATTATTATGCTCAAAAGTTAACGGAGGAAATGAACCACAATAACTATGAAGGAGGTGCCGCCTGGAATGAATAAGACTTGAAATTATCGATGTAATCTAATGGAAACTTGAACAAAAAATTGAACTGATTTATAGTTTATGTAAACAGAAAATCATCAGCTAGTCAAAGTCAACAAAATACCACTACATGTACGAGTATTGAGTATGTCGTATCTACCGAGTGTATAATGAAATTAAATCATTTCATTTTTATGTTATTTACTTATTATTATATGTACGTTACTTAAATGCCAGTGGACTGGATTATATTCGTAAAATAATGTTTATGGAATGTTAAATCATGATTTATATTTACTTGTGCAAATTATTTATGAAAGAAAAAAAAAACAATATTTTAGTCGATACGAAGTATTTTTTCTAATACCTTTCCAAACATTTCTGGCAGTTGGTAATTGGTGTCAATTATCACCATCAAGCACGAATATTTTTGTGTTAATGTAAGCATTATTCATTGTGTTATTGAACTGTGACACTGTCAAGTTTAGTATTGAATCATTAGTTGATGAAATTACTTGTAGTAACATTTTTTTAAAGATGCATAAAATTATTTTGATTGTATTTGTGGGGTTTTTGGTGAAACGAAGTTTATCGCAATCTTCTTCAGAGCTATTAAAGAATGAGCTGAGATTTATGCATCATAATAATAATGAGTTAATTCAAATCTTAAATGGTGTCAATCAGCAATGTCCAGAAATTACTCAAGTATTTGAGTTAAATCCATCGACTGTGAATGGTAATCGTTTGTATGGAATTATATTTGGAATAAATCCTTCGGCTCATGAACCATGTACGTAATAAATTTATTATTTTTTGATTATTCAATTAATAATCATTACTATTTTGTTTCTTTGGCCTATTGCACACCTATACTTCCAAAAAGATTCTCGATTTTAATTTACAGAACATTTCTTATTTCTGCTCCACCCCGTGACTGCAACTTGTGATTAAAGTACTTTAGTCACGGCCTTGGCTGTTCGTGTTTTAAGTATCACTTTTTGTGCCTCAAAACTGTTTTTAAGATAGGAATAGAAAATTGATTTAAATTAATATTTATGATTTTAGTAATTCCGGAGTTTAAATACGTAGGCAACATTCACGGAAACGAAGTTGTGGGCAGAGAATTACTCCTACGTTTAGCTGTTTACTTCTGCGATGAATTCCATCGCGGTAATCCTGAAATTCAGCAGTTAATACGCATGACAAGAATACATTTGCTTCCATCTGCAAACCCAGACGGTTGGGAAACAGCCACAAATGCAAATGTAAATAAACATATACTTTTTTTAAATAACCATAAGCAATAAAATAACTAAATTAAATTTTAGTATGAAGATCGGAATTATTTAACCGGAAGAGCTAACAATAATACATACGATTTGAATAGGAACTTTCCACAGTTAAATCAAATTGTTTACAAGGAAATGCAAACCAATCCGGCAATTAATCATCATGTACAAAATTATTTAACTAAACTCGCTGAACCTGTGAGTATTTGCTTTCCGAAACTTTTATTTCCATAATTTTATTTTATTTGATTTATTTTATCATATTTCAGTTGCAACCGGAAACAAAAGCCCTAGTTAAATGGATGTTACGTGAACCCTTTGTACTTTCGGGGTCTTTGCATGGTGGTGCTTTGGTCGCCAATTATCCTTTCGATGAATCACGTCATGGTGAAGGGAAATCGTATACTGCATCACCAGACGATGAACTATTCAAGTAATTCTTATCATTTGAATTGTTGAGGCTTTTGCTTGATGAAATTCTAAAATTTAGATCTAGCCTATCTTAATCTAACCTAACCTAATCGATCCTAATTTAACCCAACCTAAGTTTTTAATAAAAATAGTGAAATCTATACAAACTTATTTTTTAGTAATAAATGAATTCTAATGATTCTAATTCAAATTAATCCATAATTATGTGTTTTATTCTAGATCGATTTCAAGAGAATTCTCCTTGAAACGCCCATCATCATACGCGGCATCTCGTCCAAATGGTGGCGATGAATGTAATGCATTCGATGACTTCAAAGATGGTGTCACCAATGGCGCCGCGTGGTACAGTCTCGCCGGAGGCATGCAAGATTTCAACTATTTAGCAACAAACTGTTACGAAATCACACTGGAATTGGGATGTGTTAAGTACCCCGACGCTGATGTGCTTCCCAGACTTTGGTTTGAACATAAAGACGCTTTGATTGCTTTTATTTGGCAGACACATATTGGTGTCAAAGGCATAATAACGGATGCCTATACTGGTCAAGCAATAAAAGATGGGGTTATACATGTTGATAGATTTGAAAATGGCCGCCGAAGTCCAATTTGGCATGATGTTACATCAGGTATGATTATTTTACAGTTTTTTTCTACTTGCATCTTTTTTTTCACGGTTTTTAAACGCAAAAAGTTGTACTTTAATCATACATGTTCAAAGCCGTGACTAAAATACTTTAGGCACGAGCTTTAGTAAAGGGTGGAATATGCGATGTATTAGATTATAGAATGTGAACCATAATTATAACATATAATCATCATTTCACACTTTATTTCAGGCACTGATGGAGATTACTACCGATTATTGTTACCTGGCAGCTACCTTATCACAGCAAATAAAAATGGTTACCAATCTGTGACTAAAGAGATTATTGTTTATGTTCGGTTACCAGCCGCAGCAATGCAAATCGATTTTCAACTTCAACTTCGTAACGCTTCAAAATGAAAAATGATACTCGTACATACGTAAGTGGGAGTTAACAACATTTATATATAAATTCGTTTGTCATATGAGATTGAATTTTGATATAAGTAATAAACATTCAATTGAATTGATATTGTTTTTTTAATTAATGCCAAACCTGCCATATAAAACCATATGTCGTAATATTGTCGTTCTTTTATCAAGCACAACGTAGCAATGTATATTTATACTTTATTACTATTCTATTTTTGTGATTATGTCAGATTTATGAATTGTCAGCTTTCCGCCACAAACACAGATTTAAAAACTAACATGATTGATATTGGTCGACGTGTTGTGAATGACAATTCTACATCAATTGCAGTCAAGTATAAAAGTGATAGTGAAGTGCACCAATATCGAAACAATAAACAAACTGGGAGTTTTTTAATTGCGTTGCAAAAGAAATGCCCGAAAGTATCTCGGTTCTTTGCATTGCCAGATCGCACTTCTAAGGGTGAACCAATTGTTGGAATTACTTTCGGAATAGTTCCGCATAGACATTTTAAATGTATGTAATAGTATAGTAAATAAGGTTGAATAAGAGCGAGCGTTTAATGAATCGAGTGTTTAACAACGTTTAACCACGTAATGCTTACGTCTTATACCGCACCGATGGCAAATGCGCAAGTGCAAACTCCACCCCGGGACTAAAGTACTTCAGTCACGGTCTTGACCGTCCGCGTTTGAAGTACCACATTTTGTCTCTCTAAACAGTGAAAAACTTGCGTTTTAAAGGTGGAAGTAGAAAGATAAAGTTACTGTTTGTTTAATATGTGAAAAATAAATTAATTATATTTGTAAATTGTTGTAGTGATACCAGAAATAAAATTGGTGTCAAATGTATTTGGTGGTGACCTGATTGGAAAAGAATTATTACTAGAACTGGCGCAATATTTATGTGAAGCAAGTAATAAAAGAAATTTGAATGTTATACAGTTATTTCAAATTACTAGAATACATATTGTGCCCTGCATGAATCCTGATGCTTGGTCAACCACGTTTGAGGTAATTATTTACAAAATATATAATTCGATGTTTTGTTAATATTTAATTAATTGTAGGAGTATACTCGTATTACCACTCAAGGTCGCAATAAAAATATTAATAATAATAATCTTGTTAGCTGGAATGCCAAACTATTTAATCGCTACGTCGACGATTTATTATGTAATAATATTTCAACAAGTTATCAATTACCATTATATGTAAGTATATAATATTTTAGCAGTTACTTGTTAACAACGTAAGTTTAATAAATATTTCGCTTAGAAGTACAAACATCCCCTACTAATATTATAAATGCGAAAGTCCTGATGTTTGTGACACTTTCACGCAAAAACTACTTAACCCATCATCATGAAAATTTGTACACATATTCTTAGTGGTCCCCGAATGGTTATAGGCTACTTTTTATTTAATAGAAAAATATTTTCAAAATAAATGAATTTTCCAGCTTAGTCAAGAGACTCGAGCGATGCTCAACTGGTACCAAAGAGAACAATTTGTCCTTTCATTGGACATCCGCTCTGGTGGAAAAAAGAACAATTATCTCACACCATCATCCAATCCATTGCAAAATTTACGAGCACCTGATAAAGATATATTCAGGTAAGTATATCCACCTCCACAAAACATAAACTTTATAACTACTACTTTTCCAAACCAATTTTAATTGTATAGATACCTTGAAGCATTATATAAAAAATATAATCCTTCTATTTTACCATGGTGTGCAGGATCCAATCTCCCACGTACCACTAACGATATCAACAATATAATAACAACAAATACAGACTCAGCCCTATCTAATTACAACTACAAAATTCTACACTGTTTGGAAATACAAGTGCAAGTTGATTGTCTCGCAATCATTCGTAATCAACAAGAATTTTATAAACTTTGGTTGCTCAATAAACCAGCTCTGCTGAATTTCATGTGGCAAGCGCACAATGGAATCAAAGGAATCATCTCCGATTTCGACAGTAAAGAAAGCATTCCTAACGCTTGTATGAAAATTTATAAGAGTTCTGGATTTAAATCAGAACGGCTCGAAAGGAATACATGTTCAGGTAAAAATCACCAATTCTAAACAGTTTAAACAATCCTATCCTAATATTACTTATATATTACAGCTGAAAGTGGTGAATACTTTCGACCCTTATTAAACGGCATCTATGTTCTAGTTCTACATGTGAAAGGCTTTCACCAACTTACACAAACAGTTGAAGTAGATAATGCAATTTATTGCGGTGCGAAAGAATTGAATATTGCTTTACGGAAAGCATGAATGATTTATGTATGCGTTGCGATTTTTGTTTTATTTTTATAAGTTATTAAACGGTTATTAATTCGTTTACAATTGAATTTTTATTACTATAAGTTAACCAGTTAACCATGGTATCGCATTGATTGTTTTCAAAGTGACTATTGTGCAATCTCCTGTGGCGCGCAACAAAAATTTACGATGTCCCTCATATAGGAATTATCTTTGTTTTAAATTCCTTTTTTATTCATAATCCAATATCGGAACAAATAAACAAACAGTTGATAGTGCAGATTGCACAATGAAAAGTGCAAAAATGATACTGCTATTTTTAGCCGTTACTGGCTACATTACTTCTGCGACTGCGTATAGTCTACCTAAAGAAGATGAATTTGAATATAAACACCATGACAACAATGAAATTGAGATGATTCTGAAGAGTATTCATCGCAGATGTCCGGAAATTACTAAACTTTTCTCTTTATCTGAACGCTCGGTACTCGGACAGAAAATAAACGGAATTATTTTTGGTAATGTTCCGTCTAGACATCAACCAAGTATGTACTTAAGTTATAACTTAATAAAAAATAGTAATAGATATTAAACTTATAATTATTTACTCGTATAGTGACTCCTGAAGTGAAATACGTGGGTGCTACTCACGGGAATGAAGTCGTTGGTAAAGAGGTTTTAATTCGATTGGCTCACTATCTGTGCGAATCATTTAGGAGTAACGACGCAGAGGTGCGCAGATTGCTCCACTTGACACGCATTCATATCTTGCCAGTTTTAAATCCAGATGGTTCTGAACTAGCAGCAGCAGCTTCGGTAAGTTTAAAATATAAATTTTTACTTCCACGCCAGTTTTTTCTTGGTTTTGGGACACATAAAGCGGTACTTTAAACACGGACTGCAAAGGTCGTCACTAAAGCACTTTAATCACGGGGTGGTACTTTCGTATATGACTAAACGTTATTACTTCTCGTTTAGCCACTTGATACTATTATACTCGTATAATTATAAAAAAAAAACTAATCCTACGTTTGTGATTTTTCCGTTTAGTACAAAGAAAGAAATGAAATCATCGGTAGAGCTAACTATAACTCCGTGGATTTAAACAGAGATTATCCAAAATTAGATAAAATTTGGTTTGCGAATCATCAAATTACCCCGTGGAATAATCATCACTTATGGTATAATGAAACTGAAATACTACCCATGGTAAGATAATTAATATATAACCAATTTTCCTGTTTTTTCCTTTTTATAAAAGTAATTATTTTGTAGTTAGCCCGGAAACACGTGGAATGATAAAATGGCTTCAAAGTGTACCGTTTGTCCTTTCGGGAGCGTTGCATGGCGGTGATCTTGTAGTGAATTATCCTCTTGATTCTCCAATTTCTAGTAAACCTGGTTTACCCTCAACAACACCAGATGAATTATTATTCCAGTAACATGCGTAAATTATTATGTTATGATATTAAACAAATATTCTTCTTTTATATAGGGAACTAGCAAATAGTTACGCATTGAAACATCCATCAATGGTAGGTTCAAAATGTTATCCCGATGAACCAGGATTTAAAAATGGTATTGTAAACGGGGCAGCTTGGTATAGTATGCGCGGTGGAATGGAAGATTTCCATTATTTCGCAACAAATTGTTATGAAACTATCATGGAGATTGGATGCGTCAAGTACCCTAACAATACAGAATTGCCTTACTTTTGGGAGGAAAACAAAGAATCTTTGATGAATTACATGTGGCAGGTTAGATCTTTCAAGCATACTTAACCTCACTTAATATATACAAATTGAATTATAATTATAGGCACATTTAGGTATTAAAGGAATTGTTTATCAGGCGGCATCGGGTTTACCTATTCCCGACGCTGAGATTCAGGTATCTACGCATATAGATGGTGAATGGGAACCAATTTGGCACTTTGTTACAACCGGTAAATATAATTGTTAAATATATTGATGTTTGTATACACATACTTACTCTAATGTTGTTTTGTTTAGCTGCTCATGGCGACTACTATCGCTTGTTATTAAACGGTAAATACATGGTTACCGCAAGCAAGAAAGGATTCGTGCCTGTATCCCACATTGTGGTCGTTCGAAACCATCCGAAGAAAGGGGCAACCAAAGTTGATTTTGCGATGACACCAAATGTAGCGGTATAAAACTTGTTTGAAGCAATGAAAGCAGTGAAATGTTTTAAACATAAAAAATAAATCTATAAATTGTTATTGCTAGTATTGATTTGCCACCATTTTGTGGTGAGCGGTGGTAACTTACGAGAATAGTTCCATTCTTCTTCAACGGCTGATACTTTACTAGATTCCATTGTTTCTTCTGTTGCGGTAGTTGTCTGCCATCCGTTGGACTGCAGGCAAATTTGAATGCTTTTTCACTTGTGGTTTTATTTGGTATCCAACCGATAGCAACGGCATTCGTTCTTATATCTTAAAATGCAAAGTTTCAGCTCCATGTCTTGTCCACTCGTCCAGTGTAGCAGTACCGACATTTATACGTTCTGCGCGCCCTCTTATTTATCAATTCTTTCATTCATTTAAAGTTTCAGTCAATTGAATAATGCTCTTAACGGATTCTGAGTAAAAACAAATAGTAAACTTACTTAATAACTTACTGAATACATTGCTTACCCTAAATATGCAATCAGTGTGAAAAGATTTCAACATTCATACTTAATTAACCTAGTTTTAATTTCACTAGTGAAACGATGTTCTTCCATTAATGTAAAATGTGTGAAACTATCTTTACATTGATCGGCCATAACCAACTTAACCGCAATCACGTCAACCACACGTATGTTTTTCAATTACAAACACTTGACTTTTTACCAACTCACTTCACAGCAACGTAATAACATAAAATGCAGTCCCTATAATAGTCCTTAGGAGAACAGTGCAACAATACAATCATACAATCATGGTGTTCAAAATCTTCAAACGGCACGTAGCGATGATAACGTATCAATATTCCAAGAAATTCAAATATGGGTAAACACAAACCTTCATTTGTCATTATATAAATAAACAATATTTTGTTTTTCATTTAGAAAATATGGAACATTAGTAGGAGCAGCAGTACTAGTATCATCATCCTCACCTCAGAGACATGATTACAACTTCATGGCACCCACAATCACATCCCGCCAACATTTAAGAGCAAACATTGATGACATGAAAACCAAAATGGAATTAATGATTATGAGAGTGCAGGCAGAGTTCTGTAGGGCTTTAGAAAGCCAAGAATTCAATGGCATTAAATTTAAGGTAGACAGATGGGAGAGGGCTGAAGGTGGAGGTGGCATAACTTGTGTGTTGCAAGATGGGGAGGTTTTTGAAAAGGCAGGCTGCAATATTTCTGTTGTTACTGGTCTATTACCCAAAGCAGCAGCACAACAGATGAATTCCAGAGGTAAAGCATTGCAATCTGATAAGTTGCCATTCTTTGCTGCTGGTGTCAGCTCTGTTATCCACCCAAGAAACCCACATGTGCCAACAATCCACTTCAATTATCGCTATTTTGAAGTACAAGATGGCAAAGAGAAAAGATGGTGGTTTGGGGGTGGTACAGATTTAACTCCGTATTATTTGGATGAAGCTGATGCGCAGCATTTTCACGGTGTTTTGAAAACCGCTTGCGATTTGCATGATAAAACATATTATCAGAAGTTTAAGAAGTGGTGCGATGATTATTTCAACATTCCGCATCGCGGTGAAAGGCGCGGAATTGGCGGAATATTCTTTGATGATTTGGACACTCCGAGTCAAGAAGACGCGTTCAGGTTTGTCACAGGATGCGCGGACGCTGTTATACCATCGTATTTGCCAATAGTAGAAAAGCACAAGAATAAAAGTTATACTAATGCTGAGAGGGAGTGGCAATTGTTAAGACGAGGCCGTTATGTGGAGTTTAATTTGATTTATGATCGTGGAACAAAATTCGGGTTGTATACACCCGGTGCTAGATATGAGAGTATTTTGATGTCGCTGCCGTTAAATGCGGTAAGATTACTTTAATTTAGTAGTTTAACAATGTTTAAAATGTATTTTTTTGTAATTCTAGCGTTGGGAATACATGAACAAACCGTTCGAGAATAGCAGAGAGATGAAACTTACCGAAGTGCTTAAGAATCCACGGGATTGGGTATAAACTTATTACGTACGTATTATTCATGTTAAATCACGATTTACAGATGTATCACTTGTTGGATTTTGCAATATTGATTGAATATAGATTATAAATTGTTTCGAATACTTTTCTTCGTACATTCAAAATGGCGGCTTCTTGTTATTTGTAAAAACAGTTGAAAGTTGTCTGAGCTGAGGTGTAATAGAAGTTGCCTATTTATTAACATCGTTCGTTGTCGGTACTTTCCGGCCGCATCGCCTACAAACATAGCCTCTTATTCGGTATTCTGTGAAGCCAAGCACAACCTAAGCATTAGCGGTTAATGGCAGTACAATTCGCATAATTCTTAAGTATTAAGCCACATCTAGATCAGAAAATACATCAAAATGTCCGATTTCTACATCCGTTATTACGTCGGCCATAAAGGTAAGTTCGGGCATGAATTCTTAGAGTTCGAATTCCGCCCGGACGGCAAACTGCGCTACGCCAATAATTCCAACTACAAGAACGACACGATGATCCGCAAAGAAGTCTACGTACACAACTGCGTCATGGACGAACTGAAGCGCATCATTCTCGACTCCGAAATCATGCAGGAAGATGATTCACTCTGGCCACCACCGGATCGCATCGGCCGACAGGAGCTTGAAATTGTCATCAATGATGAACACATCTCATTCACCACTTCCAAGACTGGCTCACTAGTGGATGTTAGCCAATCTAAGGATCCTGAAGGTCTCAGATGCTTCTACTATTTGGTACAGGACTTGAAATGTTTAGTATTCTCTTTGATTGGTCTCCATTTCAAGATCAAGCCCATATAAATTAAGTAAATTTAGTTTTTATACATCATGAGAAGCAGAGTAATGTGAAAAAGTGTGCAAGGAATACAAATTAATACAAAACTTACACTACATGAGTAATAAGTTATCACAATTAGTCAATATGCTTAAAATGATTAGATTTCTTCATCCAAATCAAGCTCTTCTTCGGGAAAGTCGCCCATTTCGACATCAACGGCCTTGACAAATGCGCCATAATTGGGCTGGCATTCAAAATACCTTTTTCCTTTGCATCTGGACAGAAAAACATTGAAAAATAGATTAATTTACCAAGATATCAATATTTTTAACGCGTTTTAACTTACGTTCCATCATTCTTCCCCAATGGCTCATCAAACTTGACTCCAACCCAAAAACCTGGCAAATCAGCAATCACACCCTTGCACATAATAGTACCAATCCTGGTTGGTGCACTTTTTGAAGTGACTTTACATCTGGAGCCAATCACCATTGTCTCTGTAATCTCCTGTTCTTTAGCCTCCTGCAACTCTTTCTTCTTGATGTTTTCCTCATTGTATTGCCCCATTTTGTTCTTGATCATAAACTGCCTCACAGTGTCTGTCTTCTTGCTGTACTCATCAAGAGACAGTTCATATTTTGGAACATTGTCGAAATTCTCCAACTCATTTCTGAGCAGAAATTTGTCCACAATATGCAAACGCATGCCGTCATCCACTGGATAAGAACCTAACATTGCTTCATTGTTGTCTAAAGTGCCCACATGTTTATTGTCTTTGGTATAGAGTTCAATTTTCATTGTCTCTGAACCTGCGCCAGTGATCAACTCAAGCTTATTCTGGAAACAAATTGTATTTAAGATGGTATTTTATCAAATGAACTTGATTTTTACTTACTTTGAGCTCTGAAATTGATAGGTCCTTTGGATAACGTTTTTCATTCAATGTTATCTCGTCTTTTGATGTAGAGATTTGTAGATTTACAAAAGCAGCGGTTTTGATCGTGTATTCAGCCATTTTGACAATGATTATTTATGATAATAGTTGTATCAAATTTAAAATGTTTGTATTCTCGAAAGGATACGGCAAGAAATAAATCAGCAGGACGAGCACGACGCCAAACGTCATAAATTTAACTGCCATCTCGCGTGCATATTGAAAAATACAATATTTATTCGTTTTTTTTTTAATATCACAATATTTCTAATAAATAGTTTAGAAACCCTGTCTCACAAATAATTGTTTTGTCGCGATGCGCATTTCGAAGGCTAAGCCTTCCTCTTCAGACGGAGAAATTATAAACTTCGAACAGTAATGTAATTGTGCAGTTGCGTCATGTACATTTAGTTGCCTATAACAAAATAGAAACTCCTACATAAATACCTAGATGTTTAAATTTTAAAATATGTAGTGCACTAGTGCAGTTATAAACTCACTTTCATCAGCAATACGTATCATTTCGATAACAAATTTAAAATTTGTTGAATTTGTGATTAACTGACTTGTTAACCTTGATTAACTTCTTCAATGACAGCTGTGTTCCACACTTCAAAACAAAAATGTCTCGCGAAGGCGAACGTCATCTGCGCGCAATGAAAAAACAATGAAGCATTTACCTGACAAATATTTACGCCGCACGTCTCCACGCTGAAACTATCCGAAGCAATGTGCGCGTTGACATAGTGCCTCAACATGACGGACGCCGACGCTTCGGTGGAGGCGCCAACCCTCCAGCTTGAGTGCCCCACTTTGGTGGTTTCCGAAGATTCCCCGCCGTCTGCACAAACGGAATCACCGCTGTCCTCATCTACAGCATCGCCTACATCACAGTCAGTCAAGTTTAAGTCAAACATTGAAGAAATCACACTTGAAGACATATCAAAGACACAAAGTCACCCAAATGAGGCTGAATCAAGTTTGTTTGAGCTGGTTGAGCAGCAGAAGAAGCAGCTGGCAGAGTACAGCGAGGTCATACGGCGGCTGGAGGCGAGCAACACGCTCGTCTTGCAGAATTGCAAGGAGTTGGAGAGCAGGTGCGAGGCGGCAGTGAAGCAGAAGGAAAGTGCCATCAAGGAAAAGGAGAGTATGGTGGTGCGCTATGCGGTCAGCGAGAAAAGTGTTCTCAAACAGCAAACTGCCAAGGAGGCCGCCGAGAAGCGGATGAAGGAGATACAACGAGAACATGATCTTCTACAGCATAAGTTAACAATGATGGGCAATGAGAAGTCAAGGATATGTCAAATGTTAGACAATAAAGTAAGTGCAGAGAGAAAAATATTTACAGGTTTCTGTATTTTTAATTTACCGACCTGTTATTTAAAAATTTATAGTGTTACGAATTGAAATCTAGTCAACAAGAAACCGAACGGTGTAAAACAGACCTCGGGGCATTAGAAACCAAGTTGAAATGGTCACAAAACAGTCTAAAAACAGAAATAGAATTGCGAAAAGAAGCTGAAAATAAAGCAGAATCGCTGCAAAACCAAATTCAAGATTACGCAAATGAAGCGGAAAAGGCGAAGAAAAATGCCGAGGATGCAATCCGAGAGTTTCACACATCACAGGATAATCGCGCGCATGTTTTGGACACGCAGAGTAAGGAACAAGCGGCTTCTTTGATAATGTTGCGTCATGAATTGGATGACCGCGATCAGCAGGTGAAGACGTTGCAATTGGAATTAGAAAAATTGCAGCGGAAACACAACGATAACATACAAGAGAATAATAAGTTGTCGATGAAAGTGCAGAAACTCGAGAAGGAACGCGCGGAGGTTGAGTTAAAAGTCGCTGATTTGAGGAGTTGTGCGGATCAACAACGACAGGATGCTGCTGATTTACAATCAAAGAATGGTCAACTCGAACAGATGAAATTACAGCTTCAAAGGTATGTAAATAATAAATAAATAATAATTTTGCTGGTTTAATATTTATTTCGGTGCTGCTATATTTAAATGTTTATCTATTTATCATTGCAAATAATAATTATGCGCATACCGCATGTCAACATTATGTCGACGATAAGCCGCCATTTTGTTTGCTGTAACTTTTTTTGTAAATAATGCAGATTCCTATAATACCTACAAAGTGGCAATATTTCATAACTTGTCTGCCTATTTTGCATAATTTTTTTTTTATCTAATGTGTGTTTTTAGCGAGCAGGAACATTTAAAAGTGGCAAGCGAGCAAATTACGCTGCTAAAATCGCGTAACGTCGACCTTACAACCGACATGGACGCTTGTCGCGCACACGAAAGCGAGTTGCTGGCATTCACGCAACAGTTGACTGATAAAAACGTCGCCCTTCAGTCAGAATTCAGCGCAATGGAAACCAAACTTCAGCAGTTGACCTACGAAAACGGCGTGCTTAATAGATCTTTACAGGAAAGCACGACGAAGAGTGGTTTAAACACTGCTCAAATGATTGCCGAGCGGCAAAAACTGTCCGCAGAAGTGGAACAATTGCAAAAAGATCTCGCGCAATGCAACAAACAATTGGAAACTGTGACGCAGGAGTTGGCTGATCAACAAGGAGAGAACAGCGTTATCAAACGCAAACATGAACTCTCATTGCGTGTAAGTAAATATAAAAATAAGTGAAAACAGAAAATAAAATTTATTTGTTAATTGTTTTATTGTAACTCATAGGAGGTGCATAAGGAACTGGCGCAATGTCGAAAAAAATTGGAACAATACGAAAGTCAAAGCACTGCGAGCAGTTCCAGCTCGACGACATCATTGAACACTGTCAATGGGCAGTCAACACCGCCGGTTGAACAGATCGTGGAGCAGGTGAAAGTCATTCAACCGGAGTTGGAATTGGACCGACACGTACTTATTGATCACATCGCCAAACTTCAACGCATCAGCGCGAAGAAGTCGGAGAAGATTGATTTCATGGAGGAGCACGTGCGGACGTTGGTGGGTGAACTGCAGAAGAAGAGTCGACTGCTTCAGCATTATATCAAGCGAGAACAGCAAGGAACTTTGTCTTCGAATAAAATGGATAATAATAAGGTAAGTGGTAATATTTAGTTCAACATAGGCAACCAAACTTGCACTTAACTTGTAAATTTAACGCGACATCTTGTTTTGTTTAATCATATGCTGCTATAATCAGTCTTCGAAATTTTGGTAACTATTTTGCTACATTTATATATACATTTTGTGTGTTTGTTTAAGTTTTATTGTTGAAATTTGTATTTTTTTGTGTACAATTTAGGCGGCCTTAGCAAAACACAGCGGCATGATGGCGTCGATTTATGGTGCAAAGATTGCGGATGAAAATCTCAGCATGGAACAAGTTCTCGACATCAATCGCAAACTTTACACTATACTAGAGGACGCCCTACTGAAAAACATCACATTAAAGGTAGGTGTAATTATTAAAATTTAGATTTTAATGTCGGAATATGAAATTATATAAAAATCACTGCTAAAACAGCTAAAAATTACGGTTAGAATTTAATTTTTAAAAAATTGATTAATGTTTGAAGGAAAATATCGACACGTTGGGAGCTGAAATAGAAAAACTGCAAAAGGAAAAGTCTGGAAGCTTGACAAACACATCATAACTGATTATAACGCACATTCCGTGAAATGTGTCGGTGGTGAATCATCTCAATATGGTTACTTAATTGACTCTCAAGTGTATACTTAATCTCATCAAACGCATTGTACCTGGACGTACGTAACGTATCAACATTCCCATTTTGTATTGTTCTTATTTATTATTCACTGTTTACGGTTTGTTTGTGTTGAGTATTATGTGATGTGATGAGACAGTGGGATGCTTCATTTGATCATTGTGCATATTGTGTATATGATTAGTGAGATATCATTCCTATATAGAATTTACTTAATCGTTGAATATTATGAGACTATAAGAATAATATATTCTGAAATGCATTATATACTGGCTATTATTCTATATGTCAAAATACTTTTGACAGCTTATTCAACTTGTGATTGCTGCAAGCGCAAAATGGCCTCGTTTATGAATGAAATATGATTAATCATGAAGAGTTTTCATCAGAATGTCAACAATAATGCAGTAGATAAAAAATTACCAAATTACTTAATGATTATAACCAAAGTTGGCCCAAAGTCAAAAGTGAGGGCATGCAAATGTAAATATAGTTGAAAACTGGATCATAGGTGTCGCTGCAGAATGAAAAAGTAAAAAGCAGTTGGAATACGAAGATGCGCATAACCTTACTTTTAAATTACCGAAATAGATTGCATCGTGAAAATAATCATAAAAACTTCATCAAGACGTAAAACATAGAATCTAATTCTGTATTCGAAATAGTGTTCTTTTTCTTAAAATTTAAGTTGGCATTAGTTAAACTTCGAAAGTCTCTTCATCTTCGAAACCATCTGCAGCAACTTCTTGATAATCTCTCTCTAGTGTAGCGAGGTTATCCCTGGAGTCGACAAACTCCCCCTCTTCCATACCCTCGCCAGTATACCAGTGCACAAACGCGCGTTTCGCGAACATAAGATCAAACTTCCTATTGAGTCGACTCCACGCCGTTGCAATGGCGGTCGTATTCGACAACATGCACACAGCGCGCTGTACCTTCACCAAATCCCCGCCAGGCACCACTGTAGGCGGCTGATAATTAATACCCACCTTGAATCCAGTGGGACACCAGTCCACAAAGCGCACATTGCTCTTTGCCTTCATCTGCGCAATCGCAGCATTGACGTCCTTCGGGACTACATCCCGCGATACAGCAAACAGCACGCCATGTATTTACCCAAGCGTGGATCACACTTCACCATCTGATTGCATGGCTCAAACAATTCCGTTGTGATTTCCGCAACAGTCATACCTTCATGGTAAGCGTCTTCGCCGGAAACCAGCGGTGCATACGACGCTAATGGGAAGTGAATACGCGGATAAGGCACCAGATTGGTTTGAAATTCAGTTAGGTCAACATTCAGCGCACCGTCAAAACGCAGCGACGCTGTGATGGAAGAAACAACTTGACTGATCAGCCTGTTGAGATTTTCATATCGCGGGCGGTCAATCTTCAACTTGCGCAGGCAAATCTCATAGATGGCTTCGTTATCCACCATAAACGCGCAGTCGGAATTTTCAAGTGTTGCATGCGTAGCCAGGACAGAGTTGTAAGGCTCGACCACAGCGGTGGATACTTGCGGAGCTGGGTACACCACAAATTGCAACTTACTTTTCTTTCCATATTGCTGTGTTAGCTTTTGCATCAGGAGCGATGTGAAGCCTGAACCTGTGCCGCCACCTAGCGAGTGGAAAAGGAAGAAGCCCTGCAGGCCGTGGCATTGCTCGCATAATTTTTGTATTCTATCCATGACAACTTCTATCATTTCACGACCTACTGTATAATGGCCACGGGCGTAATTATTCGCTGCATCTTCCTTTCCGGTTATTAATTGTTCCGGATGGTAGAGTTGCTTGTAGTGGCCAGTTCTTATTTCATCTGATAATTAATAAATAACTAGTTATGGTCAAGTTATACTAATATTATATTCTAATATTTACCAACAACAGTTGGTTCCAAATCAATAATGACAGCTCTCGGTACCATTCTGTATTTATCCACCTCGGAGAAGAACGTGGTGGAGCTATTTTCGACAACTCCGGATAGTGGCATGCCGTCGACTCCAATGCCGTGCTCGAGGCAATACAATTCCCAGGTGGCATTGCCCATCTGGGCACCGGCTTGCCCGATGTGTATGGAGATACATTCCCTCTAAAACAAGCATTTTACTATCTTCTTCTATGCGCATACTTTATTCTCATGCAATACTTTGTGCGTGGAATCACCTACCATTTTGATTTTCCACTAGAATTTTTACATAAAATGGCCGAAAATGATATGTCGAAATTTGATTTAAATCACTAGGAGTTATGTGAATTTACAAAATGCCAAAACGGACTGGTAGATTTTGTTTTCATGGCCATTTGACTAAAAAGTTTCTAAGTTCAGTAACTATGTATTATTCAAAACTTGAATAAACGCGCGAAAATGCAGGTTATGTTTACTATAGTCAGATAACCGTCGGTTACGTTTTGTAACAAAATAAAGAGAACATAAGTACATTAAAAAACGATAAATAACGTTTTAAAATGTTTAATTTTATGTGAAACTTACTTATAACGTGATTAAATCATACAATGTCTAATAAATTGGTGTCTATAAAGGTCAAACGACCTAATATACTCTTTGAACAGTGGTTAACCGAGTGGATGCAACAGGAAACGAATGATACTCAACAAAAGTATTATGAAAATGCTCTGAAAGCGCTTCAAAAATTCCCTCTGCCTCTTGCGACAGGGCGGGAATGCATCATACTCAAAGGATTCGGTGAGAAATTATGCAAAAGACTTGATGATAAACTGAAAAATAAAAATAAATCACAACCACCTGTTATACTTCTCAACAATGTAAATATAAATCAAGTAAATGAAGATAATACGAATAAAAATCAATTACCAACAGAAATAGTTGCATCTACTAGTAATAAGAATACAAAAACATACACTCCAGCTTACAGATCAGGAGCATATGCAATTTTATGTGCTTTATACAAATATTACAATGAAAATCAATTGAATGGTGTGTTGAAAAAGGATCTCATTGCAAGTGCACAAAGATTCTGTGATAAATCATTTGTGAAAAATGATCAGGGTGGCCTTTACACAGCCTGGTCATCAATGAGTACATTAGTCAGTAAGCAGCTAGTCAAGAAGGAAGGAAATCCTGCAAAGTTTCATTTAACTGAAGCAGGTATACCACTAGCTAAGTCATTATATGAAGATGCGATGAAAGATCCTGAAAATGCACATTTTATCAATCAAGTTGATCAGCTTATTATACAAGATCATGCTAATGATGTGCAAGCTGATAAAAACAAAGCAACTAAAAGAAAATTACCAAAAAATCCAAGTTCTTCTTCATTACAAAGCAGTCAAACAACTGATTCTGATATAATACAGGAAACTGTAATTTTTCCGCCTGGTTCATTCAAGATATATTTATTAGTTGATACACAAGAAACCTCGGGCACATCCAAGACTAAAAAGGATGTTTATGATGAGATTATAATGGAGTTGAACGCGTTGAGTGTGAATTATGAAATTCGGCATTTAAAAATCGGTGATTACGCATGGATATGTCGGCATGATGAGACTCAGCAAGAATTAGTTCTGCCGTATATTGTCGAACGGAAACGAATGGACGATTTCGGGGCTAGTATCAAAGATGGCCGCTTTCACGAGCAGAAATTTCGCTTGAAACAAAGCGGAATACAGAATCTAATTTATTTGGTTGAGAGTCATGGTAATAATACGCATTGTGGGATGCCTATAAGTTCGATTTTCCAAGCTGCAACTAATACTTTGTTACAAGATGGATTTTCATTAAAATTTACGGATAACATTCGTAAAACTGTGGAATATTTGGCATTATTTACGAAATTAATGTGTAAAATCTTCGTGGAGAAGACTTTGATGAATTGTGCAAAGGAAGATTTACAAAAGTGTGTGCTAGGAGAAGATTTGATTGGATTAATGACGTTTAAAGAGTTTAATTTGAGCTCAACAAAAAATAAGGTAAAATATTATGATTAATTCATGTTTTATGAGCTGTTTATGCTGTGAATTATACTTTTTATTGTTTGTTTGCTTTAATTTGATCAGGTAATGAAAGTAAGCGACATGTTTGTTAAACAACTACTTCAATTGCACGGAATATCAGTTGATAAAGCACTGGCAATCGTCTCGAAGTATCCAACGCCACGATTACTGAAGTTTGCATACGACGCATGCGAAAACAACAAAGAAGCAGAAGGTTTGCTGAGCAACATTGAGTTTGGTACTTTGAATAAAAAAGTTGGCCCTGTTATATCCACAACGATTTATCAACTTTACAATTTTAAAGATTATTAATTAAATCATCGAAGATTTTATATTTTAAAATAGTTCGTGAAACCACCGTAGGTGTCGCTGCATGTCAAACATTGCATTTCGCTTTGTTTTCCCAAAGTGTGTATGCATTTGAAATATTTCAAGCATTGGGAACGTACGTGATAAGTTTTTTTTTATATCCGCTGCATTAACGTTGATAAGACTGTATGGATATCGTGGCAGACAATCAGCGCCACACTTGTCTTGCGTTGCAAATATGGAAAAACGTAAATGATGCGACATGTGATGAGATAATGTGTTATTTTTGTGCGTTGCGTTCATCAATAAATTAATCTACGCATACATCTGTTAGTCATTGAGGTGTATATTACTCGGAATAAATGAACAATCGAATTACAGGTGAGATTAACAAATTCCTTTAATTTTCGGTTTTTATCTAAAGCCGTGTGGAAAAATAAATTAATAACGAAATCGGATGAATTCATCCGTTATTGAAAACTACTCATACACTAATCGTTGTTCTTTATTGATTAGATAACCGCGATATCAATACGGAGTACCTCGCATCGATCCAGAATCGATTCAGTTATTGACGTGCCGCGCGGTCGTTTATCACCGCATTCATCATCACCTCACCCCACACACCTTTCACGATGAGCGTAAGTTATTTTTCTGTTTGCTGTGTGTTTGTCAGTTGGCGAATGAATCGTGATGGCATATCAACAGGAAATTGCCCTGCTGGTGTCAACCGCCACCAAAGAGCTGCAGTTCCGCTTTCCGGGCAAGCGTCCGGCGCGTGCGCTCTTTCAAGAGGTGTGCAAGAACCTGAGTCTGCGCGAAGTGTGGTACTTTGGACTCTATTACTTTGGCGATAGTAATCGCAAGGTATGGATTGATCAGAGTCAGAAAAAACTTGCGACGTATTCCAGTCAAGCGAAGCGGTTGTACTTTGGTATCAAGTATTATCCAGAGGATATTACATTGGATGTTATTGAACCGCTTACGCGCAAGTATTTCTACAGCGAGGTGCGTAATGATATCCTGAAGGATCGGATTTATTGTCCGGCGGATACCTGCGTGTTGTTGGCTTCGTATGCCTGTCAGGCGCGTCATGGTGATTACGACGAGGATATCGATATTTCAACGGAGAGATTATTTCCAGATAGGTGTGTACACATTGAATTTATATTTTGTGATGAGTGATTTACAACTTTCGATATCGTTTGAAAATTTTCGGCGGCGATGATAACCGCAATCGCAATCTTACATTTTCGAATTTGTCGAAATTTGAAGGTTAAAAGTGCCGCCATTTTAAAATTCTTGCATGATGAATAATTTTAGGGTTATGAAAACACACAAACTCACAAAAGCAGAGTTCATCCAATCGGTGACAAGTATGTGGATCAAACACAAAGGATCTTTAACCGATGAAGTAATGGCGGAGTATTTGCGACTCACGCAGAACTTGGATATGATTGGCGTGCACTTTTTTGACATTACAAATCAGAAGGGCACGCATCTTGTGGTTGGTATCAATCCACTCGGAATGAATATGTATAAACCTGAAGATAAGTAAGTATTATTTAGATAAATGCTATGAAAATAAGTGAATATTATTTTTAAGTGAATGATATTTTTAGGTTGAATCCAACAACTTCGTTTCCCTGGTCGGAAATTGCTAACTTAAACTTCCGCGGGCGTAAATTCACAATCAAAACCGTTGACAAGAAAACCATGGACGTGAATTTCTTCAGCTCGGACCCGAAGAATAACAAACAAATTATGACGCTTGGAATTGGTTATCATCAGTTGTACATACGTAGGCGGCAACCTGATTCACTCGAAATCACTGAGATGAAGGAAAATGCCAAGATGCAGAGGCAATTACTTGAAGCGCAGAGGTAAAATTTACAAAATTACATTAAATATCTATTGTCTAAATTAAAACATAAATTCAGGGATAGATTACGTCGTCAACAAATTCAGAGTGAGCAAGTAGAAGCACGTTACAAGGAGGATCTCAAGAAGTTAACCGACGAGTTGACATCGACAAGATCACAGCTGAATGATTCGTTGATGACGATCAAACGATTGCAGGAACGTTTGGCGGAAATCGAAGCCGCTAAGAAGGAATTAGAAGATCGCCAAAACGAGCTGCATCAAATGATGGTGCAGTTGGAGCAAGCGAAGCACTTGGAAGAATCCGAGCGTTTGAAACTTGAAGAAGAGATCCGTCGTAAACAAGAAGAGGTGCAACGTATTCAAGAAGAAGTTGAAGATAAAGATTCAGAGACTAAACGTCTACAGGAGGAAATGGAAGAGGCGAAACGGCAGTTCGAAGAGTTTCAAGCACGGCAAATCAGAGAACAAGAGGAGGCAGAGGAAGCGCGGTTGAGAGCTGAAGAAGAACGCCAACGCGCTTTGGAGGAAGCAATGACTGCCCGTGATGTGGTTCCTGAATTAGCGGAGATCAATCAAAAATTGACAGATGAACTAAAAGTAAGTTGGCAAATTTTTAAGGTAGGCAACCAGTGTTACATGTTGTACTTTTTTGTTTCAGTTATTACAGAGCAAGTTGGAAGAAACACGTAAAGTGGAGATGGAAAGTGCCGAGGATCGTATTCATCGTGAAAATCTACGTAATGATAGAGATAAGTACAAAACGCTGTCGGAGATTCGCCGCGGAAACACGAATCGACGTGTGGAGATGTTTGAGAACTTCTAGAATGTTCTACGGTAGGTCGCCATCTTGGAAACTCTGTTTCGTTGATGACAGAGCGATTTGTTCATTGCATTGTTGATTATTTCAAAGATAACTTATTTATTCGTTTTCCACGCGATTTTAAAACTTTTAATGGCTGCCACAGCATCCGAAGAAAAATAAACATAGTGTTTTCTATTTGTATATTATAAATTTACATTGTCTCTTTTGATGGCCTAGAAAATAATTCCTACACGTGGTAACAACATGGAACATTGCGCCATCAAAGCAGTCCATTGTACTGGCGTCGTTGACGTATGCAGTAACAACACACAATTCAACCATTTCAGTTTCTTTTATGTACAATATATGAAATGTTCGCGAGAAGATAGAAAAACACCGATTATTTTGACACGCCGACGAGCGCTGGTCGAATAACACGATCGTGTAGTTTATATCCAATCTTTGATACAACTACAACGGTACCAGCTTCTTTACCCTCAACTTCCTGCTGGAATAGTGCTTCGTGGAAGTTCGGATTAAACTTCTCATTGAGCGGATTTACTTTCTCTAGGCCATGGCGTTTGAACACTGATTGTAGCTGCGCTTCGGTCATTACCAGCCCTTCGTAGAGACTCTTAAGGTGCGGGTTTTTATCGCATAGCTCTTCTTTGGGCACGCTTTCGGTGGCGCGGTTTAAAACATCGGCGACGTCGAGTAAATCCTTACAAAAACCTTGAATTCCGTACTGTTTCGCTTCGGCAATTTGTTTCGTTAGTCGATTGCGTAGATTTTCACCATCAGCCAATGCTCGTTTATATTTATCCTGAAAACAAAGAAAAAAATACTTTTTTAGGTTAAAATTTTATGTTGTACTGAATTTATTTCTTACTATGTTTGTTTTACTGGTTTGTTTACTACCAAATAACTTTGAAATGAAATTTTCAAAGGCAAATAGATACATTTTGCCCTTCATAGATTCAACTATACACTCCAAAATTTATGCCACATGTGATTTGACTTTGACAGTCACTTACCATCAACTCTGAATTTTTTTCTGTCAATGATGCAATTTCACTGTTCAGTTTTTCCAGTTCTTCATTAGGTTTTTCTGTTGTGGGTGGAGGTGGTGCCGATGCTGCCTGGTCTGCTTTTTTCTCATCTGGGACGGTATTATTCCAGCGTAATGCCACAGCCGCCAGCGGTGTACTTCTGTAATAAATTACACAATAACACAGTCAATTGCATGAACAAATATCGTAGTAATTGTAAAATCCAACCTGTTATTCAGTACTTTTGTGAGGTTTTGTGCGGAAAATACTTGGTTGCACCTGATAATGTGTCGGACGCCGAATAACGCCATACTGATTGCGAACAATGAATTTTTTTGATGAAAATTCAGGGAGGACTTTTAATATTTTTCAGTCAAAATCACCGAAATTACGAAAGTGTAAACTCGCCGTTGTTTAGAAATTGAAGGTTATATTTTACGTCACCGATGATTTTTGACCTTTTAGGGACTTTTCAATCGCCATTTTGTATAAACATTGTAAATTATCATAAAATTGTTACATATTACACTAATTAATATTTAGGAGAAACATAATCCATGATTTTATTATGATTATATACAAGATTCTGTAAATGCTTTTGGAAGTGTGTTGGGCAATTCAAAACTATTTATTTTTAAAATGATGTTAGTACATAGTATTTAAATAATTACATGGTATAATAAATAATTTACGCAGATTTCTGATATAGAAATTATATTATTTTATAATTTCCAATAGCAAAAATGCATTTCTAGGGTTTTTAATGTTACAAACAGTTTGAATTGAAAGGAACACTGTAGCGCCCCACTGCGTCCAAAACACAAACGACGTAAACAAACGTAAGGTTAGAGTTGGCTGTATTGTCGCACGTGTGAGTCAGTGTAACGCCGAAAATAATTGCTGTTATTTCATAAAAAAACAACAATAATGGCTGTATTACAACGTGTGGTGTATGTATAAAAACAAAATCGCTTTACACCTTCATTACCGGTGCACCTCTCAAAAGTATCCTTAATAATTATGTGTCTTCCGTTTTCCCCTGCAGCAAACCGACCACTCGCAAAGGTAAAAAGATACTCATCAGCAAGGAGCCGCAAATCATCGAGGGAGTCAAGCGCACACTATTTTTCACTGGTAGAAAAGCATCGGATACGATTCGCGGGGTGATGAAAGACCTCTATGATCTTAAAAAACCAGATGCTTTCAAAATGCAGCGCAAGAATGATGTTACAGTGTTTGAGAATCCCACACCAGTTGAACAATTTTGCAGAAAACACGAGACACCACTGTTCCTAATGGGTTCAAACACAAAGAAACGCCCGGATAATATTGTCCTTGGTAGAATGTTTGATTATGCTCTACTGGATATGATTGAGTTAGGGGTTGATAATTTTGATGCAATGAAGGCTTTCTGTGGCAGGAAAATCACAGTTGGTTGTAAGCCTCTATTGTTGTTCAATGGGCCACACTGGGAGCAGAGTGATGATCTAAAACAGCTGAAATCCATGTTCATTGACTTCTTTCATAGGGAAAATGTAGATAATGTTAGATTGCAAGGTTTGGAGCATGCACTCAGCTTTACAGTGTCAGAGGAGGGTAAAATTATGTTCAGGTCATACAAAATTTTGTTGAAGAAGTCTGGGAGTAGAACGCCCCGCATAGAATTGGAAGAAATAGGTAATTTTTTTACATAAAAACCGTTTTAATTTTAATATTTTATTAATTATGAATTTATTTTATCATCAGGTCCAAGAATAGATTTTACTCTCAGACGTACGAAACTGCCCAGCGACGACCTAATGAAATTAGCCTGCCGTCAACCTAAATCCCTCAAAGTCACCAAGAAGAAGAATATTTCCAAGGATGGTTTAGGCACAACGCACGGCCGCGTCCATCTTGGAAAGCAGGACATCAATAAACTGCAAACACGCAAGATGAAAGGTCTTAAAAAGTCCGTCAAGGAACAGAAAGCGCTTCGCAACGCTGGTAAAGCGCTCAGTAATGGCATTCCTTCACCACTTGTCAAACAAATAAAACCACGTCAGAAGAAAGTGGTATCATAACGTGAACGAAAACCACGAGTACTGTACATTTACACTAAATCATAGGGTAAAATCGTATTTTAATTTAAAGGTTAAATTAAAGTAGGCTACAATTAAGAAGTTGCGCAATATATGGAACGTTATTAATTCGCATAATTGTAAATACGCGACTTGCGCTGAGAGTCCAGACGATTTTTCTATCTTAAGTACGTTGAATACTTATTTATAAGCTAAATAAATGAAATTGAACACAAATTATGAAAACAAAAAACTTAACTGCGGCACATGGAGTTTGTTTTACGAAGCGGTTAGTAGCTATGTGTTTGTTGGGTTGCCTATCGATATTAAACATCGAAGATGACGCCATTTTGCTTTGTCGCATATTTCACAAACGTTAATCCAGTTAAATCTACGTCCGATAACTCGAAGACAAACCGTAAGTTTTATTAGGTTGATAAGTGATAAATCAAACAATACAATATAAATAAAGGAATGTCTATTAAAATTTTAAACATAAAAAGATTCTTGAAACAGTATGTACAAGTATTAGCGTCTATCATAACTTAGCGTACATGCTATGGCACCTAGGCGATATCAAACATCTTGCGATTCTATCGTTGTGTACTGTACTTTACGCCCGACTTTATCAATAATCGGCGCCATTTTCTTCTTGATCACATCTCGAGTCAAATACACATACGCAGCGACTAAGCTCACCAGCACCAGCGACAAAACAACCAACATAATAGTCGTCGCCTGTGAGAACTTGTACGATTTATGCGCGCATAGCACATTCACAAGCTGCTTATTTGAGTATTTATTGAAGGAACACTCCAGTGAATCACGATTTCTTAGTGTGACATTTGTTCTCTGCAACCAAGTACACAGATTCTTCGCCACCGCGTCACATTTTAACGGATTGCGGCTTATATCCATAACTAATTTGATTTCACGATTGGGCGCCATTAATTTATCCAAATTATCTAAATCTTTCTGCGATAATCGCGTGATATTATTGTGTTCCAAATCTAAAAAGCGCAACTTTTTTAGACATCGCACATTGAAGTTCAACGCAGGCACGTAGTTATCACCCATATACAAATCGTGCAAGTTGGGTAAATCACAGAAAACGTTCGGATCACGAAAATGTTTGATTTCGTTCTGCTCCAGATGCAGCTTGTACAATTTCGTCAGCCCGCTGTTGTTGAATATATCATGCAGGTCATTGGCAAGCGCCTCATCCGTGTTGTCTGCGAACGCGTTCGTCAAATGCAATTCCTGCAGATTAATAAAGTTGGAAAACACGCGCGGATGATGGTAATTATCGTCGTCCGTGTCGGACACGATCAACTCATTATGGTTTAGAATGAGCAATTCCACATTCGGGACGTGATGGTAGGACTTGCCTTTAATGTCGCGTATTTTATTATTACTCATGTCGATTTTGCGCAGTTTGGTGAGATTGTTCAAATCACCGAAGACATTCCATGGCAGTATTGGGATGTTATTGCCGGTAAAAACCAATTCTTCGGTTTCTTCTGGTAATACTTTGAGCATATCGACGTTTGTGAAGCCTTGACCGATGCATTCCACAAGAAATGCGGTTGCTTTATCCGCCGCGATGTATTTTTCACCACAGAAACAATTTTCCAAGAGTTTTGAGCCACATTCATACTTCATTCTGCATGTGCACAGATGCAAACTTGCCAGGAGTAGCAAACATGTGTAAATCCAACTCATTGTGATGATGGCTGAAAAATATTTCAAGAATATTATCTGTAGTAATACAGGTTTTGATTTATTTGTGTTTTATCATGTCGCATGGTAATGTGATTAACGTGTTATGTGGGAATTTGGGTTTTACCTTTGTGTCTCAAGGTTGTTTAATGTAATAAGAGTTACGCGTGAGCTAATTTCCACATGCGAGGTCCCAACACTCCTTTCTGCAAAGATGTATTGACTTAAGTCTTAAGCGAAGTTAATTCCGAAGAAAATCGCCATAGATGCACAAAATGCATCAAAATTTGACTTAATGGTGAGTCAACCATGCGCGTCGAGACAATAAAACAATTCCAAAACAAGTTAGCACAACCAGACACAACTATAACAACGCGTTTATTGATATTGCAGCAATCGCACGTCCACTCCACTCGCCGCGTACTGCGATGACTGCGATGTCTGCAGGCAACAGTTGGAGGTTTGTGGTGTTGGCCAAAGCCGCTCGGACGCACACAGGTGTGCGCTCACCGCTCACAGCCCCTCTTCCTGCACGGACGCATCGCAGACCCAACGTGACCTATGCTGCAGGCCCGCAGGTATGCAAGCGTGTTTGTTTTCTAGATTGTGCTGCGGCCGCTTTTGTTGCCTGAATATTTTATATGAAACTTGAGCCGAAGGAACATTGTCGTTTCCGGCACGGCGCAGGTCATGAATGTGACCGCGCATAAATGACCAAGTACATCGTCAGTCGGTAATCGACTAATCGTTTAAATGTTGCCTTAATGGTCGATATTTGTCCGCGACTGCTATGACATCATCAATAAATTATTAATTGTCTGACCCTAATATGGCAGTGCAAGCTGCGGCGACGTATATTATAGAAAGAAGGTAAAAGTTTGAAAATTTTAGTTTTAAGCTACAATTTAATGAATTTCGTAAATAAAATTAGTGAAATCTTTATTATTTGTGGATTTTTCAGTTAAATTTTGAATATTATAGCGCTTTCTTCTGTTTAAAAGCTATAACTTCAGTTTTGTTATCGAATATCAACTAGTAAAATCAATCTTCACCATTTTTCTTTACAAAGAACAAGTGACATTATTAGCTCAGTCATTTCGCGCTAGATGTCGCTAGCAACTGGATTTTAATTGTGTGTATTAGGTTGCATAAATGTGAACGCTTGCGTTGTGAACACAAACAAAAACGTGCAATTCCTGCGATTGCTGCTCGCGCGTTCGGCGCTTGCACATTGTTGCTCGTACGGCATAAAAACGCACGCAAAAGTGGAAGTAGTGAGAGTACGCGACTACGCGTTGATGAGCGCTAGTGGAACGCGGAATCACGAAACACGAATCAGTTTTGAGCGCCGTGTGCGACGAGCGAGAGCGCGTGTGTATCCTGCCGCCGTGAGTTCGCGGAAAATACTTGAGCCTGTTATCATTATTCGTACACCACATGCGTAGAGTGCAAGTGCGACATGCGAACCGTATTAAACGTGCGAATGATATAAAGGTGTAACTCAGGTGTAAACTGTAACAGAAAAAAACATAATCGACAAGGTGTGGAATTAAAACAACGACGATGATTATGTATCGCTGTAATGTGTTGGGGACTTGACGGATTCCAGCGAGATGTAAAAAATAATGCGGTGAGTCTTGATTTGAATCCAAAAGAAAAGAAAATTCTGGAATTTTTTATAAAGAAATTCAGAAAAAGCAAACAAAAGCTGGTGAAATTTTTGATTTCAAATGGCATGAATGAATGCATGTATCTAATAGAAATGATTTCATGACTTCTTCCTTTTCCTCCGCTTGCTTTCTTTCCATGTGTAGTATGCTTGCGGTTTCGTTCGCGGCGTGCCATTCGGAATCGACCTGAATTCGGACCGCGGCTCGCTACAAACATCGCGCACGCACGACGCCGCGACGCACACAATCAAATGCTTGTTGCGGCGTGCTCCACACACTCACCGAACGACACTCGGCAGGTAGTCAGGTACATATAAGCAGGTCGACGTAAAAATTATAAATTTGCGTAATGCACGGCGACGCCGCTGTCGTGCGAGTAATGCTAGTTTCTTGGTAGCTAAGCAACGACTTATACCAGTATAGGAGCACCATTATTGTAACGCTGGGAATCTGAAAAGGTATTAATATTTTACAATGTTATTAACGTTAGTTTTACTGCGGCGCGCGAGAGTGTACATTGGTACTGAGTTGTACAAATTAATAAATAATGCATGAATGGAATTTCGTTGATGCGAAAGTATTAATTTTATATTGTGGTTGGGCATTGTTTTAAAATGATTGCAAATTATAATGTTTTTCTATATCCATCTTTACAAAATCAATTTTTTCACGGTTTTGAGACATAAAAAGTGGTACTTTAAATACGGACGGTCAAAGCCGTGATTAAAGTACTTTAGTTACGGGTTTTAGTGACGGGGTGGAGCTTGCAAAGTAGAAAAAATTGGAGTGGAAATAGAAAAAATAGCGTAAGCATCATGAAATGGCTAAACGTTGTTAAACACTCGCTCTTAATGAATCTCGTGACAAAAACGCCCATTTAGCCACTTGATACTTTATATACTATTAATCATTGATAATTTATTTTAAGGAGTTTGTCATTATATCTCAACTTTTTTATCCTAAGCGTTGTTATGCTTTAAATTCAATTGACTAAGAAAAAACTTAACCAAAATGTTTTTTTGCATTTTAAACAAGACTACTTTGTATTGTCATCGTTTTCCGTGCTGGCATTGTCTATCCGTTGAATTTGTTTCGGTTATTATATTCACGCTCATTGGAGAAGCAAAAAGTGAACTTGAAATGGCAGTTAAAGTCATTGCCAATCATAACTTTAACGACTTAGCAGGAAACTGTCTTTATTTTTTTGCTTAACAAAAGAAAATATGATACTTTTAAAATACTTAGAAATTTTTAGAAACCCAAATAGGTATCTTGTATTATCTATAATTTCACAAAAGTTTGTTTATACATAATAGGCACTTATATTAAACATATAACATATTATAAAGGATATTATGTAAAAATTGCAGTTATTTAATATTTGCAATGTAAACATACTCAACCTTAACGCATAGAACTTTGAAACACATTCAAAACTTCCTGTTCATAACAAACAGTCAATCAGTCAGTAAGCTAATCTAGTAAACCGTGAATTTAGTCAAAATTGATACCAGCTAAAAACGAAACCCATTCATTTATTGGTCCGCTGACTTTAAACTGAGTTGTATCCTTCGGCGAGGAAAAGAAACAACAAAATACGTCGTATACAAAAGAAAATAATCAGTAGAAACAATGTACTCGTATAAACATTTAGTACATCTAATAGTTTATAGCTTGTAGCATTAGTGAGTAGCACCAAGTAATTTACAACTATTCTATGGTAGAATGGTTGTACCCGACCTTCATCAGCTTAACGCTTTTATTTGCATCATAAATTTGAATCTCCAATTAGAATATTTTAATCAAACTAGCCATGAAACCACATTTTATTCTATAAATTTATACAGAAATTGCGTACATTCGTATCTTACAAGGAGAACTTTATCAACAATTTTTGTAAAATTTTATTCGTAAATAAGAAAAATTGATGAGGAAAGTGACAAATGTTCAAAGGGGAGATATTTCTTTTATTTTACAGAATAATTTCAAAAAAATTTGCTTTAAAAATTAAGTTTTTATTTTTTGTTTCTAAAATCTACTTTAGCGCCATCTGGATTCGAAATATATAACTATAATTATAATAGAATCCTCATACGAACTTTGATCCCTTATTTTACACCATGCAAGTTACTTTATTGCTATAAAAAGTAGCTTATTTTATTTTCCTTGGTCTAAAATAATTCTATACCAAAATTTATCAAAATTAGCCCATTGGTTTTTGCGTGAAAATGTCACAAACATATGTTTTGTTGTTTTTTCTTCAAAACACGTTGAAATGGAATAGTAAAATTTTTAGATGCTAACTGTTATTTTGTCTGGGCGATTCTTCAATTCGAAAACAGTCGTAAAAATTTCACTTTTCAATTTTTTTTCCCGCCCGCACGTTAAAATATAGATTCGATCGAATGTTACTGTAAAAAATCCATCGGTGACGTGAGCGGGTTAAAATTGAAAGCAAAGCAAGCACCTACACTATTTTCGCCCTGACAACGTTGTCTAAACAAATGATTGTGGTTCAACTACACTGCCGTGGGTTATCTATGATTATGCGGGAACTTGAACATGACCTAGGTAAGCAGCGCTCTCGTTAGCAACTGAATTTTCCATTTTTAACTAACGTGCAGACACATTCAACGACACTTTGGTCATTCGTGCACAATTGCGATCGTCCAACTGATGTGTGACTCATTCTTCTGTTGATAAAAATTACATTATTTATATACAGTTGGTTTAAATGTTGCATTTCGTAAAAATTACATTTGTTATTTTATGGTATTGTATATTGTATTGTGGAAAACCATCAGTGGTTGTCGGAAACGTCCACACATTTGTTGGGACAAGGTGGAAAGTGTGGAAAATGTGGAAAACTATCGATCCGCACTGTTTGTATACACATACACGATTTGTGGAATGTAGGAGCTTCGAACGCGTGGTTTGAAGCGAAGGATAAAGTCATGGTTTTACGCGGGGTAGTGACGACTACTGCCGATCGTCCGATGTCGATGGTGTTTATCGGTTAATATCAGCGCGCAATGCCGATATATGAATCGCGGCCGTGTGGAAATACAAAGCTGACACATTTGTCTTTCTCGCGGACGCTTTTCTAATTTTTTTGCTGTAAATCTTTCATAAAAAACAATCGATTCATGAATCATAATAGTTTACGACTTGTAATTTTTCTAACTATTAATTTACGTCAATTTATGCAACTTATAGGAGGAAATTTTTAAATGATCATAAATTTAATTTTATTTTTTTTTAATTTATTGGTGAAAAAATCTGAATTTCAAATTTTGAATTTAATTTCGTGTTGTGTTACTGATTTTAATTTTATTGGGCTGGTTTTGTTAGAGTGGCATTATCCACCCCGTGACTAAAACCAGTGAATAAAGTACTTTAGTCACGACTTTGGTCGTCCATGCGTAAAGTACCACTTTTTGTGTCTAAAAACCGTGAAAAACGATTTTTGATCGAAAGTGTAAAAATAAATGATTTCAATATTTAAAATCTTCAATTACGATGCACTCAGTATTTGCGTCAACTAAACATGTGAATTAACACATGCGAATATAATCTCCTCTCCTTAATTTGTGAGATTGTTTTAAATATTTACCAGCGTGTGCATGATACAGCTTGAAAATAAAACATGCAAGACGACATGACCGTGAAAACGAACACGGAAAAAGTGAAAAACATTCTTTTCTCGTTCAGCGGCTATAAATATTTGTGACAACATTAGAATTTCAATCGTATGCGCATTTAATTATGTAAGCATTGTTTTCTTGTTTGTTTGTTTGTGGCATGATAGAAAGTAGTAACATTTATTTAATTTGATTAAATTTAAGTGTACTTTGTTTTTGTTTCGTTTCTTTTGCTTTTGTTTTGGTTTTCGTTTGTTAATTGGGAAAATTAAGCGTTCGTTGAAGTGAGTGAACTGAACTGTTGTTCATAATTAACCTAACAAGTCATTACGTACATTATTCGCGACAATGGCGATATGGGGAAGTTTATTACCTGGCCTGCGTTTTTATTGGTCGTTTGGCGATTTATATTTAGTTTCGTTTGAATGCCGGCTGGCTCGTATATTCAGCGTTATCAAAGCTGTTCAATGTGTCTAACTCGGATTTACGAGTACAACCAGAGGAGTTTTCAATGCTGAGGACTAGAAAATGTTTTTTTTTAGGTCAACTAATATAATTAATTGGATTGTGGGCAATCCATCAATATTTTTTGACAGTTTTAAGGTATTTTTTGCTATTAATGTTTGTTTCAAAAGTTGGAAAACGTTTAATTTTGATGAATTATGCAGGAAATTTAGCTTTTAATTTATTTTTCTACTTCCACTTTTAAAATGTCAGTTTTCCACGGTTTTGAGACACAAAAAGTGTAATTTTAAGACGGATTTCTAAGGCCGTGACTAAATTACTTTAATCTCAGGTTTTAGTCACGGGTTGAAGCTCTTTATCATTAACTAGCTTTAACCCGCGGCTTCGCTCGCGAACATTTAAAATAATGAAGTTGCTTCCGTACGCGTCTGTAGTCACAGAAGAAGTAACAATGAAGTTGAATGGCGGGAAGTTTAAAATGGCTGAAAGTATAGTCTATGGAAGAATAGTGTACAGTATCCATAGTGTAGTCAATTGGATTTGATGTTGACGTAGTCAACAAGTTTGATGTCGGTAATACAGTGTGATAATACAGTGTGATGGTACTGTAGTACTTAGGTTTGAGCTTCATTGCTGGAATGCTAGATGGCGTTAAAGTAGTCAAATAGCCAGATGCAGAGGTATTATTGGCTAAACAATTTCTATATTTTATTTAAAAAATAATTTTTTTATTAAATAAAAATTAGCCTATAACCATTCGGGGACCACTAAGAATATGTGCCCAAATTTTCATGATGATCTGTTGAGTAGTTTTAGCGTGAAAGCATGATAAACATCAGGACTTTCGCATTTAT